CTGATAAAACCCAATTCTTACTCTATGCTGGATTCTGTCATACTACGAAAGGGGAGGAGGATAAATGGGGGGGGGGTGTTTATGACTCTCACTTCCTTCATTAACAACAAAGTGACCGTTTGTGGATTCTCTTCGAGAGGACTAAACATAACAATGCGGCCATCTGCCTTTCATCTTAGTCCCTCTGAAGTTCTTCTCTTTGCTGGCAGTGAGGAAAAAGGGGTGGGGGAAAATCCAACGCCTAGGATCGGGGAAAGAGAGGATGAGTGATCTTGCCAACGGAGCGGATGACAGATTGAATTGCCCGGAAGAACTGTGGGGTGGGGGCTGCTTGGGAACATTTTAAAACATTGAAGGGTGGGAGAGGATTCCCCAGATCCTGTCTAACATGCCTACAATCAGCTTCTCTTAATAAAAATCCCTGTTGGAAATATTCCAAGAGTTCTGTCTTCTTAAGATGTAAGATTGAGGTGGGTCCTTACATTGAGAATATAAGAAAAAATGTTTTAAGCTAATAGTGTAATTTAACTGGGCTGATACCTTTGGGTATCCTGAAGAGTACAGAACTGAGGAGATAGACTTCCGGTTTGCCAGGCAGCTGCCATGAACGGCTGGGAGACTTGTTCTCTCTCCCCTGTTCAGTTTTGCATCATTGGGGGGCCCTGAAAAGGGCCGAAAGTCACCCCGAAGAGGCGACCAGCAAGGATGGGCTTTCGCTGGATCGCGGGAGAGTAGCAACTCTCCCGTTAGGGCAGGCGATCCCTCCAAACTGGTGGACGAAAGGACTGGCCATAAAAATATGGCTCGTCCCTAGGCTGCTAATAGCCGAAGTCACACTTACCATCTAGCAACTTCAAAGCAGCATGGGAAGGACTGGGTGAGAACTACCTCTCTTACATCCTAATTACTTAATTACCTGCATAAGCTGCTAAAGTACTTTCCCCCCTGTGTAGAGGGAAGGGGGATTTTAGCCCTCCCTCCAGAAACAGCGGCAATTGAATACACAGGGGAGCTTTTTTGAAAACGTTGAAAAAATAAATGGATACCAATTGGAACTTTATTTCCTAAAGCTTGTGGATTAAAAGATTTTTGATTATCTACTTTTTACTTTTAATTTTTATTCGAAATTTTTTCCTTTTAAAATAGAAGAATCCCCCCCAAAAGGATTACAATAACTTTGAGATTTAAAGGAATTCCTTAAACAGTGGGGTGACATCTTGGGGCTAAACCTGAAATTGCAATTTATTATTCTTAAAGAAAAGAGACCTGGCTGACAGTTTAGAAAACAAGATAAGATTGATCTGGTAACCTTGAACACCAGCTGTGAGAGTTTTAGCTCTGTTTCTTATTTACTGGTGGGAGGGAACTGTGAAAGTTTTCAATTCAACTCATCACTATTGAAGTCCAGGAACAGATCTTTCCTATGGAAGAAATGCAAAAACAATTTTTTGCTATGTTGAAAATAACTTACCAAACTTACCAAAGTCTTCTTAAAGCTGGCGATGAAATAAGAGCTTTCAGAAAAAACCCAGAAAGCATCTTAGATATGCAAACTCAAACTTTGACTATAACTAAAAACCTATCTATACAGAATACAATAGGAAAAATCGAACAATTAAATACTATGACAGAAGACCTAACTGTCCAACAAATACAGACAATAGAAAATTCAGAAAAAAATCTGACAACATGGATGGAGGAAAAAACCTGCTATATAAATCAGAAGGAATTTGAAGATGAAGAAGAGAAACAGATGGAAGAAAAGATAAACAAATAAGGACAACTACAAGAGGAGAAAATAAAAGAGACGATCTGAGAGTCCTGCCAGATCCCTCAGCCTTCCAAAAATGGCGACTGGATAGTCATCTCAATATGACATAATATATACAATAATACAAGAAATCTTTGAGGATCCTGAAGCAAGGACATGAAAGATGATTTGGCAAAGAAAAAAAAAAGCCAGAATAAGATTGAAGAAGAATGGAGTGTGGGCATATTTAGGAGGTTTAAAATAGAATATACTTAAGTAAACAAGACCCGTATTTTGAATACCAGATATTGTTATGATGTGAAGATAAAGAAAAATGTTGGCTAATTAAAACCTAGATGCATAAATATTAACAGTTAAATTGAAATATTGAGTTGTTTATAAAGGTTAGATAAAGATGATTAAAACATATATATGTTAAGAGTGATGTAATGTAATTAACATGTTTTGATGTAGTGATAAGAATAAAAATTAATAAGCTTAAATATGAGAAAGTGGATATAAGGAAGAATACTGAAATGGGAGAAATTTTGATTACTGAATTTATAATATTTGGAAATTATAATGAAAATAAGAATGTTATATTGTATTACTAATTTGTTGATATAGAAGTGAGATAGATAAGATATATATTCGGAATACTAGATGTTGGGGGGAATTGTGACAAAGGGAATTGGGGTCATTTAAAAATTTGGAAATGATAAATATTAAATGTTTAATTTAAATATCAACGAAAAATTAAAACTGGGAAAATTCATAAAGTGGTCCAAAAGATGGAATGTTAAAATAAATAAGACATATAAAATTATTGATAAATGTAAAAAAGCTATTAAATAGCTGATGGATAGAATAAGAAGTATACTAATTTAAACAAGAGACAGTATGTATTAAGGGAAAAAAGAGAGGAAATATTGGCTGTAATAGTTGGAGATTTGTATTAATAATATTTGTATATAATGGAACTATTGTAACTCAGGCACCATGTTGCTTTTCAAAGATATAATTGTAACATTGGAAAATTAATAAAAAGTTAAAAAAAAAAAAAACTGAGGAGATAATCCACATGCCTTGTTTATCATTTGGTGTCTTGTTACTTAGTCCTTAATACTGTACAGCCTTATCAATAACCCTTCCTCCATCCTTGTCTTCGAAGACTGAAATTTCAAGGGTGGAATCCTGATATGGAATTCTGGAAGAAACCAACTGCAGAATGAATATTGGTTTGGGGGAAAATGTGCAGGTTTTGTCACCTTGAAAAATGTTGATTTCTACAACTATCAGTATATAAATTGCCCTCCCTATCTCATAATACCTCTTTATCCAGGGACATGTCCCTTAATCTTGACAAATGTGTGTGTGTGTGTGTGTGTGTGTATGTAACACACCATACACGTAATATAGGCACAATATATGTATTACACAATACATAATCATGCACAAAATAAGAATTGTTGATCTAAGTGTTCTGACATTTGTTCCTTGTGCCACTATTGAAAAATAACTTGTCCAAATACTTGTCCAAATATACTTGTCCAAATATACTTGTCCAAATACTTGTCCAAATATAACTTGTCCAAATATAGATCAAAAATCCAGTGCTGCCAATCAGGGCAAATTTATCTTTCCAGTATTGGAATAGTACTACTTTGGGCTACATTCCTTCTGTGTAAATACCCATAGCTCTCAGTATGTTAATCACAATCATATACTAGAGATATAAACTAGATTAGTTCTCTCCAACATGGCTGCTCTCCAGATGTGTACATTTGAGTTCCTAGAAATCTCAGCAATAGCCGCACATCTGGAGGGCAGCCAGGTTGAAGAAAGCTGGCTGAAAAACTCATGCACTTGGTAGCAATTCTTTTGATAAAGCAACCATCAACCCCAAACCTGACTGCCAGTCAGATAAATTTCAGACCAAAATGTAACAGTAGTAGGATAAGATCAAACCAAATGAGTTGATGTTTTAAATTATATCCTCTGCATTAATGCAAACATGTGGCATAGTTCTCATTGAGAACTGTGGAATGCACACAGAAATGATTGCTTGTTAATATATTCCATGTGCATTGGAAGCTAATGTTAGTTTGTCATCCTTATTAGAAACAAGACTGGATGAGCTAATTCTACTTTATTGTAAAGCTACATTAACAGAATCTTGCAAACCTGAAAGTGCTTCTCTCCCTCGTCCCCTTTAGAGTCCAAAAACTAAGGAGGGTCTTCAGAGCCTCTTGCCCAGCTCACATTCCCCACATAGCTGCCTTTTATCTGTCCATTTTGTTGGCTGCTGTGTCTTCAGCTTTCCCTCAAAGTCACTACCTCATACCATGACATAATTTGAACATTTTGGCACTATGAAAGGCTTAGATAGTAATTGGAGTAATTACTATCTTAGGCAGATTACTGAGAAAGAGCTAGCTTGTAGTTTTGATGAGTTAGCCATATTCTTACTGATGAGGATGACACTCTGTTAGAGAAAAAATGACATCCAGAAATGACAGGAGACCTATCTGGAGGAAGTAGAATTCACCTTTTTAAAACTTTGGTGGATGCAGTAAAGCTGCATACATCTATCCCTGTTTTGTAGTATGAGATTAGCAGGTTACCTAGTTGAGATTGTCCAAACTGCCCTTGTGTACAAGGTCAAAGATCAATTAGGGATTAAACTCTTAAAATAGGACCATCAAAACCTAGACTGACATCGATGTTAGTTCAGGGAGTAACTGAGCAGTTCCTATCTTCCCCCTTACCTATCTCATTGGGTTGTTGTAAAATATCACTTGAGTTTCTGGGGTGGGGGGAAACAAGAGATAAATTGAATGGATATTTAAATAATAAATGAGTGGGCTTGAAATTCTGGGAACAATTGGGAAAATATGCCTGGGGGGGGACCAGATTTGGAAAAAAAAATGACATGGCTTTAACTTAAAGTGATTAGACCCATAAACATGGTATTAGGACAGGAATTGTGTGGAAATTCTGTTAATTCTGAAGGCGACTCTATTATTGATAAAATTTCAGAGCAGTCAAGAAGCCCAGCCTCTTGACTTTTCTAAGGTATGCATCCACAACAACTTCAGAAGTTGCTTCTCTTCTAAGATTAGCCCCAATTCTTTTGTCCTCTCATTTTTCTCTTATTTTTGTCCTTTGGCAATCTGCTTATAGAGAGAATTCAAAGTGGATTGCACAGTGTAACATTTGCCTACTTTCCTTCTTTGTAATCTTCCACTAGGAAACCTGTCAACATGACCAAAGCCACAATCAACTACCGCAATGAGAAAACACACATGATGAGTGCAGTTGATCAGAGCTTCACAGACCAGAGTACCCTTCAGGAAGATGAGAGGCTGGGATTATCTTTCATGGATACTCACAATTACAACAACAGAGGTTAGTTTCGAAGGAATACATGTCCTGATTCCAAGCTGGAGCGGTAGAATTTATATAACAGAGCAAAATAGATTTTATTGGTTCTTCTGTTGGTAGTACAATAAAGTTAGGATTAGAGTTAAAGTTAAGCTTCTTTAGGCTCTGCTGTTGGATTTTATATGTGGGTTTCTTTATTTATTGTATTTATTTAGTTATTGATATCCCGACTTTATTATTTCTTATAAATAACTCAAGACAACAAACACACATAATTCTCTTTTTTCCTCCTATTTTCTCCATAACAACATTGTGAAATGAGTTGGGCTGAGAGAGAGAGGGACTGCCCTAAAGTTCCCCCAGCCAGTTTTCATGACTAAGGTGAGACTAGATCTCACAGTCTGATTGGCCCAGCTGGCTTTCATGCCTAAAGAATAACTAGAACTCACAGACTCCTGGTTTCTAGGCTGAGGCCTTAAGTGTTATAAGAAGGATTGTGTGCCAGGTGGGTTATCCAAAAAGTCAAAATTAAAGCTACAAGTACAATCAAAGCCTTTTTATGTGCATTGTGACACATGTGAAAAAGGAGCAGGGCTTTGATTTCATGAGATGACACAGTGAAATCCAATCAAGTCCAATCCTTTATTTGCTTACAGATGACAGACAGAATCTTGCCAAATTAAAGCTATAACCTTATAGCCTACTTAATATATCCTGAGGGATTCTAGGATGTGGCTACCTTTTCCCTCTTCCACCATCCAGTGTGAGACTATGCAGTCTCCTAATCTGGCCCCACTCTGGGAAAGCTTGATTTCTCCAAAACTCTGCCCCACTAATCCTCCAGTGCATGTTTCATCATGCATGATTTTCACTCCCTGTTTGACTCAACACCTCTCTGAAGATTCCCCTGCCAATTTTTAGGACAAAATTTCTACTGATAGGATGAAAGTAGGGTTAGCCTTCCCTGGAGTCTGTGGTTCAATCTAATGTGAGAGTTAGATTAAGAAAGAAAAAAAACCAGTGCAGATTTATTGGTCCTGGATCTCTTCCAATACACTCCTACCTGAGTTTTCATGAATTTTAACATTGGTTGGCTCTTTGGAAGTGTTATCAGTTCAAATTGTCAGTACTAATCTTCTGGGCTGTGCACACAGTGTTATCTGATAAGGCTGATTACAATTCAGACTCTTCTGCTCTCCGCTCACTTGTGCAATCAGTCCATTCTTTATCTTAAAATTGCCACCTCATGTTTTTATAAAGCTTTCCCCCATTTAGTTCTCTGGCTTCAAGTCATCTTTGAGTTAGGCCTGTAGTCCAATCTTTAGACATTTGTAAAAGGTTTAAAATGCTTCTTTTTCCAGGATCTTCAGGAAAGTGGAAAAACCTCCTCCTAATTTGATTTGTGTTGTACTTGTATTTGTATTAAGAATTGTTTATCCTGAGTACAGGTAGTCCTCGACAGTTCATTTAGTGACTGTTCAAAGTTACAATGGCACTGAAAAAAATGACTTATGACCATTTTCACACTTACAGCCATTGCAGTATTCCCCAGAGTCAGATTAATTTGGATGCTTGGCAATTGACTCATATGTCCCAGTGTCATATGATCACCTTTGGTGACAAGCAAAGCCAATCACTTAACAACCATGTTACTAATTTAACAACTGCAGTGATTTACTTAACTGTGGCATGAAAGGTCATAAAATGGGGCAAAATTTACTTAACAATTGTTTCACTGAGCAACAAAAATTTTGGGCTCAGTTGTGGTCGTAAGTCAAGGACTACCGATATTAGATGATATTAAGATAGGATACCATTGATCATGATATAGTTTTATTGTGATTTATATTTTATATATACTGTAGATCTGATTTACCTGGACTGTGCATAGTATAAGTAGACATTTTCACACAATTCATTTGTCAGGAAATGAAAAAAGCTATCAGTCATAGTGTATTGCAGAAAGAAACAAAAATTTTTTTTGTCCCTTTTGATGCTACTTCAGTCTGATGAAGGAAAATCCATTTTTGGCATTTCTTTCAAATAAGATAAGAATTGTTTAGCTCCAACTGGCTTAGCTAGTCTGGTTTACATGCCCCTCTAACTGCCTGTTTGCTGAACATTGTCACTATTTTGGCTTGGCCCATGAGAGTGGCTAGTCTTTTGTTGTTTCTGTGTTTATTCTGGAATGTGGAATTCCTGGGAAATCAGTAGAACAGTCAGCCAGGAATTCTGCTGTTTGATGGGTGTGTACCTTCTCTGCATCTCTGCAGGGCGATCTGTACACAGATGTGTTCTGGGGACATTGGTAAATGAAGTGCATCAATACATTCGTACACATATGTACACACAAACACCAATATAGAATGGGAATGGGAGAGGGAAGAGGTACTTTGTTTGAGGGTGGGAACGGAGAGAAAAAGAAATATATACCAAAAAATGTTTATCATATGAATATCTTTTTTGTTCTTCTGTTCATTTGTGTCTGATTCTTGAAGACTGCCTGAACAAGTCCCAGCAGTTTTCTTGACCAGGTTTTTCAGAAATTGTTTGCCATTGCTTCCTTCCTTGGGCTAAGAGAGAAGGACTGGCCCAAGGTCATCCAGCTGCTTTGTGCTTAAGGTGGGACTAAAACTCACAGTCTCCTGGTTTCTAGCCTGGTGTCTTAACCACTATAGCAGATGAGCTTTTGACCTAGCAGATATGAATACTTGATGAATAGCTACTTGATTTAATTCTTAGAACTTAACTAAGTGGCTTAGATTTCTACTATTGCTTATAATAGAAATTGCTTTGCTGCTGGTTTCTTCCTCTTCCCATTCTACTTTATCTGCAGGTTTAGGAATGCCAACAGCTTCTCCCCTTAATACACTCTTGTCTAATTAATTGGCACCTGAACCATTTGGAGTTTGCATCTTCCCATGTAGAGTCCATGACTGCTTTTTCTTTTTCCTGATTCTTTTCTGTAGATTCTTCTTTAGGTTCAAACTATCTAAGACCCTTTCCTGGCTCTTCTCCAGATCTTCTGGCATCTGGTTCTCCCAGTCCTGGACTTCTCTGCTACACAACTTGTCTGGTTACATCTCATTCTAGCAGCATCTCCTGCCAAATTTAGGGAGGGGGGGAAATACCTCTCTTCCTGACTTCCTGCTCTGGTTTCTATTATATTTCTTTTTTATTTAAACCTTACATGCCCATCTGCAGGAGTCTCTAAGGAGTTTACAACATTTCCCTTCCTTTCTCTGCAGGTCCCTATGTATCTAAACAGGGCAGCTGACAGACCACCGCAGAGAAAAATATTGTGACCTTGATAGTTTCAGAGCAGTTCACCCATCCACATTCTTTGTCTATCAAAACCAATTTGGGGTGAAAATTGGGTCTAGATGGAAGAAAAGAAAGAAAGAGCGGGGGTGGGGGGTGGGGGTGGGGGTGAACAATATAGAGACTCTGATTCAGGCTTCCCAGCATTGTATTTGGCTGCTCCAATCACTCAGAGAGACTTTTGAGAATGGGATTGTTTGACATGAGCATACTGATCTTCTATTTCTCTGACAATTCTATCGATCTCTTGAGAGATCGATAGTCCTGTCAGAGGAAGCACATGGTAAATAATAAAACGTAAGGTTAAATAAATAAAATAAGGCAAAAATAAGGTTTCAGATCCCAACCCTGCCTGCCAAATGTTCTGCTGACAGTGGTTTTTCCTGCTGATGTGTGATTCTCACTGGGAGGGGAAAGGAAGATAGAGAATCCAGCAACCTCTGCCTTGAACTATCCTGCATTACGTGGGGTGAATAAGACTGCAGACATGCTGCAGATGACTAACTCCAGTGAGAATTAGGGGATTACCTGGAACCCTCTGGTTACCTTGGGGCTAGGATACCTATCTTCTTTACCTTTTCTTGCTCATATATATACCTAGGCTTGATACATACCAAGGTGGTTTGTTTCTTTCCATTGATGATCAAGATGGTAAGAAAAATTGGATATGATTCTGAACTATATAGAGTGGTCCTAAGTGATAAATTGAGCCATGTATGGTTTAAAGCAGTGTTTTTAAAGCTGGCTGGGGAATTCCGGTAATTGAAGTCTATCTATCTTAATGTTGCCAAGGTGGAGAAACACTGCATTAAAAAGTTGCCTGAGTATATGCAACGAGTTTTGGCTTGCTCCATAGCAGATAACTGCATGCTCCAGAGTTTACTTCAGGATACATTATTTGGATGCAATTTGCCCATAGGATCCTGATTCACTTTTACAGTCAATACAATTCAATTTTGCAGTTACTAAGATTGTTGGCTGTGCCGGTACAAAGATACTAGGGAAATGATTGAAGCCTGGGAAACGGGCCCCTTGACAGTCCACAGAGTGCTGATCCACTACCAGCTTATCAGGTGCTTAGGAACTGAGGACTTGGCAGCACAAGGAAACAAAGCCAGTCGCTAGCCATCAACACACCAATCAACCAATAGGAAAGCACTACATAAATATGACTCATAGAATAGCCAAAGCACATATTTCAGTAGAGAGAAGTTCCCTGAGGATGGACTTCAGGATGAATCCAAAAACTTGGAAGAGTAAACTTTTGGTTCCAGTGAGCAACCCAGATTGGATCTTACAACATTATCGTGGGATGTGTATATTTGCCTTCATTCATGATAGTCTATACTATTTGAAATTCTGGGCAAATTCTCCTGGTTTAGTTAGCAGCCTGTAGCCAACAGTATGCAATATGAGGATCAAGACCTATCTCTGCAAAGATGTTGAGTTTGCTTTTTTTTATGCAAATGGTGGGTAAAAACTGATCAAAATCTTGCCACAGGAGCAGCAGGCAAAGTAAGCAAGTACATAATTTGTTCCTTAGCACATTGTAAATATGAGGTACATATAATTGACATTTAATAGCATGGAAAGGGATGGGATGCAAATGGAAAATGAATGGATTTTAGAATGGCACACTTTTAATTCTATGGTCTTGCTTTACAGGGTTAAATAAGTTATTCTGTTACTGAGATTAACCCCAG